CACGAACATTTCCGTCGTCTCTGTGTACCGGCCAACATCAGCTGCCAGCCAAAGCGATAAAGACTTCCTCGTCATGATCTGCTGATTTATATCGGAGACTAAAATTACCGAACCAGTTTCGGCGTCTATCTAAACAGCCAGCTTACTGGCAGCTCTATGCTTGGCTCTTGAGACGACAATGCTGAAAGAATGTTCATAGACGTTTTGGCAGATTTTGAAAAATTCGTGTTGACCGAACTGTGAAAAACTCGGCACCTCGTGGGATTCGAACCCACGCAGTAAGGGGAAGGCTTAGTACAGCCAACGCTCAGGCCACTTGAGCTACAAGGCCCCGCGAGTCCAATCACATTTGGGTCAAGTTACCCGCCCAACCTACTGCAACGTCTGGAATCCACCGAATCTGATGCAGTAAGTTTTTCACAGTTGGGTCAATATGAATTATTCAAAATCTGCCAAAACATCTATGAATTACGTGAGCCTAGTAGTCATTTGGTGGATTCTAGGTGAATTACTGAGGAAATCCTGTTTGGGTGATCAACTTACCGTATCAGATTTGATGGATTCCAGACGTTGCAGTAGTTTGGGCGGACGACTTGACCCAGGTGTGGTTAGACTTGCGTCGTCCGGCGGGGCCTCGTAGATCAAGTGGTTAGAGCGTTGGCTGTACGAAAGCCTTCCTCTTACTGCGTGGGTTCGAATCCCACCGAGGCGCCGAGTTTTTCACAGTTGGGTGAATTTGAAAAAGGATGTTCAATTTTTCCCGATCGGGACGGGTTGCTTGCTACCAACATGTGCTTCCAGTATCATCATGAACATCTGCTGGCCTGATATTCGAACAACTACCATACGGCGGGTCCAACTGGCTAGCTTCTATTGAGTAAAGGATTCCGCAGCTCAGTTCACGATAGCGGATAGCTGCGTGATGCCGAAACTGGTAACATCTATTGGTCAGACCACGTTCTAGTTCGCACGCTCTTGGAAGTTCATTTCTAGTCCGCACCCAAAATATCCTTTGCTAGGGCGCCTTGATGCCGCAAAACTTCGACGACCTAGCAACTCTTTGACAGCCTGGAATGCTCGGTAACTTATGGACAACCCAAAGGAGAACGGCTCTGGTTGCCAGCTAACTAGATTGCTACAACTTGAACATTGCAATTCTTAATGAGACCCATTTCTCCGAACATAGAGAACTGGAAGAGGCAGTTGCCGGTAAAACCGTTTTTGGGACGTCCAAAGGCAGAGCGGCCGGACGCCGATCGCCTTTCTCACCAGGAACGACGTCGTTAGACGGCTAGTATGTCTACCGCAAGGCATCAACGGTTGTCTCATGACCACGAGGCTGCCACCCCATGAGGACAAACTCGTCACCCTCATTAGCGCCCATGTCCTGCGCTCAGAACCCAGCGGCTTGCTCCGATGACGTAAAGAACAAGTTCTAAAAAGACCTGCCCGCGTTTCTAGCGGTTGTATCGAATGCAGACAAATTAATTGTCTCCGGTGTCTTCACTGCCAGCGTCGACACAGACTACAGTACCTGGAATAGAGTACCAGGACCCTTCACGATCGTCATCTGCAACAATATCCACTTTCTCCTGCTTCAGGCATGAGTGGAACACAGACTACTTCTAACCGGCACCTCCCGCCTTTGGACACCAGAAAAGGTGACGTAGATGCATCCTCGATTGCGTCATTGACATCTGCTGGACTACGTCTTGGTTAGGGGGCATGACAAGCGTAGCGTGCTAGGAGCCAAAGGAGTGTGTGCTGCTGACTGTTGACTGGACCAACGCCTTGTTGCTTTCAAAATGAGGCTGCAAGTGCAACCCTGCCGAAGGTGCGATGACCGATAACTTGAAGGTTTCCAAATCAGAAGAAAAGGAAGACGGTTAGATAGACAAGGTTTGCTGAGGCAATGTAGAATGCGCGCAGCTCAGCAGGCAGTAGCAGCCAGCAGCCTCACCAGGCTAGTGCCAGCTTGAGTGCATGCGCCAGAAATTCGTTCGGCTGCGGTCGGTCGATTAATAGAGAAATATCGGTCACTGTCAAAGCGTCACAGGCCGGAGGTCGAGTCACGCACGTAGGCGGGCCGGGGGCGACATGGGTAAGCGGCGGCGCTGACGACCGTGGAAGAAGGCAATCACAGACCTGCGGACAACTGCAAGGCAATTCGGCATCTGGTCAGTCAAATGCATGAGGACTGATTCGATGACAGTAATGAAGTAATCCCCTAACCACTATTTTGAGTAGCATGCTATACATCAGCTCGACCGGCGCTAACGACGATGTCCACTGTCTGCCCAAAGGCAAGATGGGCACATGATGGTGACTTGTGCGTGAATTAGTTTATAGGAATTATAAGCTTGCACAGGGCCTTCCTCACACCCTGGACCCGGTGACAAGACCGAGGCAGGACGACCGGGAGGGGTGTGCAACCGAGCGTAGGGGCTGACAAGGCTGAATAGGTCGTCACGCGTGCCACAGACGACCTGGCTCGCGCACGGTGAACTAGGTTCTCCCGGAACCGAGGGGCTCGGCTCAGATCAGGTCTGAATGGGAGTGTTACATAGGCCACATACGATGTAGAAATCGCTGGTTCTCGTCCTACCACACAACTAGATCACACATGCAGGTGCTCCACAAAACGTGCATATACGCCACGTCTGTGTTGCACACCATGCATGTATTCTGTTGGAAGCATGCAATGCACTTTGCCAGCACCGGAATGGCGGGAGGAACTTCGCATGTGAGAAATGTACACCTCACTTGTAGGGATAGCGTGCCCTCCAAGGTAACCTGGTAATCTGGAACAGGGAACGGGTTGTGTGTTGCACGCGCAGATAGCCAGTTTAACTTTGCCAGTCGCTCACCTGATTCCAACAAGAATTGGCCGGTGGGCCCAGACAGTGGAGTGGTGCACGGCGGAGGGAGAGCATGTGAGACCGATATCATCAAATCCATCTCCTCGGCACAGCAGCGCATTTATCGCTATAATAAATCAGACGCACTTAAATTCATCATGACGCTCTGGAAGTCGTGGTCATCAATTGACAGGACTACTCGGTCCTTCTCAGGCCTGGGAGTCGGCTTGCAGTAGCTCCTTATTAGTGCGACCTATATGGCACTCCCACTGATGTGAGATTCAAGGTCCGCCAGACGGACTTAACAGGTACCAGACTGAGTGTGACATGTACAGACGGGCTGTTTAATCGTGTCCTCCATTATGCCCAGAACCATCTCCAGTCATCTTGAATTTTTTTCTAACCAAGGTGGGCGAGGAAGGAGTGGTTGCGGTAGATTTTGCACCAGTCTGTCACACTATAGACTAAGTCGCGTTCAAGTAGCCCATGCTGCACCCACAACTCCGTGGAATACGCGGTGGACGTCGTGGCCGCTTGCGGCGTAGTGTTCACAAATCTGTTTGTTACCAAAACTGACAAAGATCCGCCAGTTTTCATTCTTTTCAATGCCAAGAGTGAGACTACCTTCTGGCATTGTGCACAGCAGCTGAACAGCAGAGAAATCGGAAGTTATTTGAAGAGAGAGAAACTGTGGTGAATTGTTACACCTCAGCTCGTGGAAAGTTATGTAAAGAGAAACGAAAAAAGTGGGAGTAGTTATGATACTTAGCCGAGAAGAACAGATCTGCGTGCGGCATATGCTAGAGGTGGCGAATGTAGCATCACGGAAAATCAGTCGCTGGAATTCTCAGAGAAGATGATTCACTGGATAATAAGAAGTTCGTCACTATTTGCTCGGCGGAAACACCAATTAGAAAATTTTTTAACGAAGCACCGAAAGGAACAACCAGTGCGTTGGATTGACAATCACGTCACCTCGGGAGATTAATAGCATAAGACGGACTGCCAATAGAAGCGAAGAGCCGAGTCCCAGGAAGTAGTCTTGAAGAAGGAGACACGATCGCCGGGACAAGAGCTTTATTAGCCTGACGTTTCGGATTCCTACTCGATGATGGATTCGAGTAGGAATCCGAAACGTCAGGCTAATAAAGCTCTTGTCCCCGCGATCGTGTCTCCTTCTTCAGAAGACGGACTCCTCTTAATTAATATAAAACTAATTCAGGTTATCTGGAGGCGTTGAAATACTGTTGACATAACCAGCGTATGGTACCGATTATTTAGTAGACGATCAGGCGGGATAATCAACACGATGGCCTGGGGGGTTTTACTTCTCGCAAGAACTTAAGATCAGTTTTTTTGCTTAGAAAGTAGAGTGCTTAGCCATACATCCAAACACTTTCTGCTCAACTAATGCTCTTTGTGAGTCAATACGGTGGTGGATGTGTGGTGTTTTAGCAAGACAACTGGGATATATATATATATGAGATGATACCGACAAAGACAAGGGAGACCGGAATGGCCATTTCTGGCTTATTAGCCGTCATCAGCCAGTCATACCCAACCCCAAGTCTGGATCACCTGAGATTCGAACCCGGGATCTTTGGTCATGGAGTTTGACGCTCTGCCATTGAGCCACGGGCCCGTGGTCCTGTCGGTTGTGATCGGGAATATCAATTATGACAGTGGGCGCTCGGCCATGGCTCAATGGTAGAGCGTCAAACTCCATGACCAAAGATCCCGGGTTCGAATCTCAAGTGATCCACACTTGGGGTTGGGTATGACGGGCTGATGACGGCTAATAAGCCAGAAATGGCCATTCCGGTCTCCCTTGCCTTTGTTGGTACCACCTGATTTACCTATATATATATATATATATATATATATGAGAAGAAGAGGCGATCTCGGGAACCATGATTGTATTGTCCTGACGTTTCAAAAGCAGACAAGCTTTCATCGTCGGAGGTGAGTATCGTACGGCATCACACAGTATTTATAGGAGGGGGATAGATATCAGTCATGCTAACACGGTGGTAATTATAGGGGGGAGGGGGTGGTTAATCGGCTTTGGCGCTAATGGCCCGCATACGCACAGGGATCGTCTCTGTAGTCGCCGGGGCAGAGCGGGAGGGAGGGTGACTGCTGTCAATCTGCCTGTCTCTCGTCGGGGGGCGGCATTTGAACGTTGGTGGCCATCGCCCGCATTCGCGTTGACCTTAATTGTCGTGCTGGGTTGCTAGTCTTGATTGCATCCCTCTGATCGCGTTTCTCCCCGTCTGCCGGAGTAGTAGTTGAGGCAACAGTATTGATGACTGCGCCTTCGTCGGGCCCGATTTGCGGTGTGGCTACGTGTAGGTCCGTCGTAGGCTCTCCCGTGTTTAGATCCACGTCCGGCCTGACCTCGCGCTTGCCCTTTAGTTTGTTGAGCTGCGCCCGGAGGGCTTGGTATGCTGTCGGGAGGGCGACGCAACGGTTTATTGAGGTTGTTTCCGTGTGCCAGGCCTCGATCGTTTCCCTGGCTACGCGGTCGTTGCCTCGACCCAGAATTTTGGCGTTCTGGAAGGCAAAAGTGTGTCCAGAGTCCGCGCAGTGTTCCGCCACCAGAGACAATGGGTCCATTCTCCTCACTGCCCGCATGTGTTCGTTAACGCGAGTTTGTAACCGTTTGCCTGTCTCTCCGACGTAGTTTGCTTGGCAAGAGTTACACTGGACCCGGTAGATGACGTTTGTCGTCTCACCTCGTGGCAGGGGGGCCTTCGGTCTCATAACCAAATGCCGAATGGTTGAGTCTGGTCGATGAGCGATCCCGATCCCCAAGGGCCTTAGGAGGCGGGAAACTGCCTCAGAGACGCCGTCGATATATGGCAGTGCACGCCAGACTTTTGGCTGTTCTGTCACCCGATTTTGGCCTGGTTTAGACTGCCTGCTGCGCTCGATGAAGTTACGGGGATATCCGTTGGCCATGAAAAGGCGCTGAAGATAGCGGAGTTCTGTCCTTCTGTCATCCGGTTCGCTGCAGTGTGTTTCTGCTCTACTGTAGAGAGTTCGCACACAACTGCGTTTGTGACATAACGGGTGTTTACTGTGATAGTTTAGGATTTGGCGTGTGTTGGTAGCCTTCCTGTACACCGTCGTTTTTATGTGCCCGTTGGGCTTTCGATGGACAAGAACGTCCAGAAATGGCAGCTGGTTGTTGTTTTCCGCCTCCATCGTGAATTGGATGTCAGGAAAGACGGAATTCAGGACGATGTGAAATTCCTCGATCATTTCTCGCTTGATGATGACGAAGGTGTCGTCCACGTACCGAGTCCAAAACTTTGGCCTGTGAGTGGTGAAAACCAGGCTCTCTAGTTTTTGCAGAACTGCCTCAGCGATGAAGCCGGAGAGAGGCGATCCCATCGGCGTCCCCTTAATTTGTTCGTACATGGTCCCCTCGAAGGTGAAGTACGTCTTCAGGCAGAATTTTAATAGTTGGACTAGATGTCTGCGCTTCACTGACTTGTCCGTCTCGTCATACTGCCTCTCGAGTAATTCGCTGACCGTTTCGATGGCCAGGTCCTGCGGGATTGAAGTGAAGAGAGAGGTGACATCAAATGACACCATGACCTCGTCTGCAGTGAGTCGCGTTCCTCTGAGCCGTTCCAGAAACTGAGTAGCTGAACAGACCGTTGTGGTTGCGCCTGAGGTGAGAGGCCTCAGGTGTCGGAACAGCCATTTCGCCAGATTGAATGTTGGCGCGCCGCGAAGTGACACGATTGGTCGGAGGGGGACATCGACCTTGTGCACTTTGGGTAGTCCGTAGAACCTTGGTGCCTTGACAATCATGTGCTTCCGAAGAGCTTGTCTTACAAGCCACCGGTAAACACAAGTCTGGCGAAACGATGGGTGATGCAACACAGCAGGCGAATGATCCGGGCGCTCCTTCAGGACTGCCATCTTCGACTGCGGAAATACAAAGGGGTTCTGAGCCAAGCGATCGCTAAATGCACTGAACTCATCGGCGAAGACGGAACTATGCTGTTGAAACAGGAGATTGATAAACGGGCCAGGGAAATACGAGCAAAACGAGATATCGAGCTGGCAGATAAGCTTCGAAATATCAGCCGCACGTTTCAGGAGGAGAACGACGTCCTAGTCCACAATCTATCCTCCAAAGAGCTGACTCCTGAACAACTAAAAGTGCTGAGTCACGAGGCCTGCTTCAATACCACAGACGCCGATCCGGTCAACCTCGTGGCAACAGTGGAATCGATTCTCAAACAAACCGAGGAATCCGACGAAACAAAACACCTCGTTCGGCAACAGGTAACCGCCTTGGTGATGGCTCACAAACCACGCGCAAATATTACCAGAACGGAACAGGATGCCCTCAAGAAACTGAGGGCCGACACGAGCATTGTGGTACTGCCAGCAGACAAAGGGCGTTCTACAGTTGTCTTGGACAAGACCGACTACATTCAGAAGGCTAACAACCTGCTGGGTGATCGACAGGCCTACCTCCGACGTGAGGATGAGCCGATGAGGAAGCTGCTGACGCAGTTGGACAAAACGATCGCTGAAATGCAAACTAACAAAGTAATAAGCAAGTCAGTACGACTGGCCGTTAAACCAACAGATGCAGCCGCACCAAGGTTCTACGGACTACCCAAAGTGCACAAGGTCGATGTCCCCCTCCGACCAATCGTGTCACTTCGCGGCGCGCCAACATTCAATCTGGCGAAATGGC